TCAAATCCCTTGAAACGTCAAGACAGTAAGGAACTTTCTCTGTTGCACTGTGGTTAGAGCATGCACTTTAATAGATTGATTTAAAATCACCCTGGAAAGTTCACATGGAATTTAGTCTCATTAAACTCAGGAGTAAAAAATCTTCACTGATTCCCACAGGACCAGGATTTCGTCTTTGGCTGCAAACTGCTTATTGATACCACATACCTTGGTATCTCTGTCTGGTAGAATAAATCTGAGCCGTTCTATTGATCCAATCAGTCACCTTTATTCACCTGCTTAAGATGTTTGCAGAATCCATACTCAGAACTACTGAAACAGGTTTCTTTACCAAGACTACAGGTTTTCACACAAGAAATATGTGCTGTCACAGTTAAGTCAATGTATTTAATGTTAGGGTAATGTAAATACCAGATTTATTTTATCGTAGCTTTTTGGAGATCTTCAAATCAGTGCCATTGTATGACTGACAAATCTGTGACTTCCATAGATTCTGATATTCTCCCTCCCCTTGTGAGTTCATGAGCTACCACTAAAACCTGAAAGTGTTCCTTTTTGTTAGTCAGTCCCTCCCCAGTAACAAGTGGAATAATTAGATGGTTTGCAAAACTTATTTCAGTACCTCCAATGTGTGTCAGATAACGTCTGAGCGCTCTAAATGCATGAACTTCTCTGTTGACAGTTGATGGTCCTCCATATGCTATCACTAGAAGAACAACTTCCCAAGAATATGCAGTGTAATAATATGCAATATGTAAAGGTAATAACAGCTCCAGAAAAGTAGGAATCGTGACAGTTGCAGAAATAACCTGCTGTCAGATGGAGATATTATTATTAGGACAGAGAGGTAGAACTTCTGTATCCATCCCAATCCTATATTAAATACTGAGAAAAACAGGATATGCTTTAAGACGGTGGCTTTGATCTGGTGGTTGATGAGATACTGGGGGACTGGAGGTTCTTTTTAAAGAGCTGAGAAAATGAGCCTAGTGTCAGGAGAAATAAGTTTACATCTCCATTCAAAAGTATGCAGAAAAATATAGCGGAAAAAAAACCCTATCTGAAAGCCACTACTTAACTTTTGGCATTCAGAACTGGTAACAAGGGGTGTGTGAAGTGCTTCAATTTGCAGCAAAACCTTCAGATGTTACTCAGGAAAACTGGACTGACGGATTTGGTCCTGAAGACATTAATTTTGGTCTATTCACTATAACCTACTGAAGTCAATTCACGTTATCCAGGCTTGCAAATACATTCTCCAAAGTATCTTCCGACATTAAAGGAAGCTCTGTTTGTGCTGGTAGTTTGAGATTAATTTTTTTGACAGATTGTCAACTCAAACCTGTTAAATTTATGCAACCAAACAGTGTATATTATTATAATATACAGTATATTATTACAATATAAATAGTAGGTATAGTAGTAGTATATATTACAATATACATAGTAGGTGTTGAGAGGTAGTCTTCTGATATTTCACTGAACAAGAATCATTTGAGGTAGTACTCTGTGTTAAGTAGAGTAAGGTTAAGGTTTTCATTAAAACTCTTCTATCCATTCTACAGAGAAACTGTGTGAACTGTATCAATATGTCTAATACAAGAATTAATTTTGCCTTTTCCACTAGAATGACTGGATTTATCAGAAGTGTGATGGCCATTCAATGCAGAATAGTTGTCTAAAGTTGGCTTGCCTTTTCCAGCCAAAGGTTTCAAAGAGCCATATGAGATTGTGTTTAAAAGCAACTATCCCTTGTGCTGCCTGTCTTATCCCTATTGTGTGAAAGAATACATTGAGATTAATGGGAATATCTTCTGTACTTGATGAGAGCTCAACTGTACCAATTCATTTGTAACAGAATACGGTGAACAAAACATACAGTTGAGGTTGCTGCTGCTGGTGGTGGGGCACAGAAGGAGGGAAACCTCCCTACTAAGCACCATCCTTTGGGGGTTACCTGGAGGCACAAGTTAGTTTACACAAGTTTCAGAAATCACTGTATTTTAAAATACTACAAGCAAGAAAAAAAAAAAAAAAAAAAAAAAAAAAACACCTTGGTTTCTTCTCATACTTGCTGCTGGTGGGTCTGAGCCCAGACCTTGCTCCTGGGGTTCGCAGAATGGACAAAGCCCACAGCACAAGCCCTGCTGCAGCTGAACCGCTGCAGCTCTTCACTGACAGCAGAGCCTTCTCGAGGGTCTCTGCGAGGTCCTGCTGCTCTGCGAAAACAAACGATCAAGGCTGTTTTTTTCCCAACAATCTGCCTGATTCTTTCAGGCAGCGAGGGGAGTGGCAGCACCTTCGCTTCGCAGCAGCCGTGACCTTACCACTGCGGATGCGCTCTAGGATTTTACAGACAATGTGGTTGCTATCTCACCTTTTGATGCTCGACGCTCTAACAGCTAAGACTATGCAAAATCCCGATTTCTTCTTATTTTCAGTGTCCCGGGAGAAAATGTGCCTCGCGTCTCTAATTGCTCTGCCATCTGAAGAAGGCAGGCAAGGCTCATTTTAGTCGCGAAATGAGCAAAGTTGTGCTCAACTTTTCATGCTGAAAAGTGCCAGTGATTTAAAGCTTCGGAGACAGAGAATGTAAATTAGACATTGTTGTACGCAAAACGAACTTGTCTTTGACAGGCTAAACAGATATTTTTACGGGGAGCCTACTCATATCCACACGGAACGCAGTTTATCTTTCGACTGTGGGTTTGGGTGCTTTTACAAAGAATGTATCATTTTAAGGTGTACCGCAGTCATAATGAGAAACCCCGTACGATTACAATTTAGACTAACGGAACAATGGACACCCCCGTGCCGTACTGTGTTGTACCGGGTAATCAGGGACTGCCAGGGAAAGCGGGAAAGCACAGCCCAGGAATAATCAATGTATCGCCCCCAGTGTGTATTGTAACCCGGCACCTCCTCGCTGAAGCGCGTCCCACCAAACCATTCATCCGCACCTCCCCTGCGCAGATAAAGGGAAAACCAGCAGTAATCAGGCGAAGAGACCCCCGGCTGAAGGTGTCGCGGACGGGACGGGACAGGACGGGACCCCTCGGGTGTGGGGGGGGGGTACCCGGTCCCCCTCCCTCACCCGTGCTGGGGGCGGGGGCGGGGGCGCGCCGCCCCCTGCGCTCCGCTCCGCTCCGCTCCCTGCGTTCCGCTCCGCCCGGTGCTCGGCGCGGCGCCTCCCCCCTCCGCGGCTCCCATGGCGGGCAGCGGCGGCCGATTCGGTGCCGGCAAGCCCCGCCCGCCGGCGGTCCGGGGCCGGCCTCCCCCTTCCCTCCGCCGCCCCCTCCGCGGCAGCCCGCCAGCAGCGCCACAGCAGGCGCGGGGCCGGCTCGCTCCGCGCTGCCTCCCGCCCGCCCGCCCCGCCGCTCCCATGCGGGCCGGCGGCGAGGCAGAAGATGGCTGACTCGCCGGGGCACCCGCGCCCCTGCCCGCCCGCGACCCCCGCCCGCCCGCCACCGCCACCGCCGCCGCCACCGCC